AAGTTTCAATTTAATTTTACACATCTCAATACTGCTTCACTATGTATTTCTGTCTTGAAAACATGACATTATTGATCTTTCTCCAAAAAACGAATGGCATTTCACTGCAGTCTTCTCTTAAAAAGAAAGAGCACATTATTATGCAGCTATCCAATTGTTTTGCATACAACTGTATATACTATTAAACATATATTCATATTGAAATGTTACTGTGGAATACATGGTTTCAGCATCGACATTGCAATGTGCACATCTGCAATAGTTACATTGCAGGATATGAATTAGAGTCTGCATAATAGTTGACCAGGAGCCACAGTTCAGAACACATGAGATTTGTGGAGTTACAACAGAGTTTAACTATAATAGAGTAAAAGTTTATCATCTGCATGTGTTTTTAAGGCCTGTGACTGTGATCATTTCAAGTGAATTAAAAGCATTCAGATACAACAAATTGTACCATTTGTAACTTTAATAAAGATTATTTTTTTGATTTATTGAGTGTTTTTTTTTACATTTGTTATTTTAGTTTCTGGACCTGAATACTGTTAAACTGCCTAGAAACTATAAAGCACTGTTTATTTCACTTCATATTAGCTCTATTGTATTGATCTATGCTTGTAGTTTATGCTTTCCTACAGAATAATTGCAATCAATCTACATTAATGACTACTTTCCAAATAGAGCAATTGAAGCCAACTGCTGAAACAAAACATCGCAATGTCAGATTTTTCCAATATCGTGCAACCCTTTTGAATATAAAATAAATACCTATTAAATACTGTAAAATTGATTTTGTGATGGTGTATTTAATATACATAGATATTATTCAGAGGGTAGAAAGAGAAATGCATGTGGAAAAGCTTAAAACACTGTCTTCCTCCAGACTGGTCGGGATTCTCTCGCCAGATCGGCTTACACTGATGGTGTGTGAGTTTATACGCACTTACACAGCTCATTGCTTTTCACCTGTTCAAGAACAGGCTCAAACATTTTATGCCTTTTCTTTTTATGTGTGTGGTCTGCTCTATGTAGGGTGCAATGGGAACTACTGCTGAAAAGGCCAGCCTGGGACATCTTGAATTTTCTTAATGTGTTACGTTTGTTAATGTGTAGGTTTGTGCTGGATAGTTCTGGAGAACAAACACATAACCATTTTTTTTTTTTGTAAGCAACATTGCTGGGAACCATATAATGGGGTATGTGCACACAGACTTTTAATTTCAGCCAGCCTGCCTCAGCGCTTCCGGTAAACTTGTTTTTTCCATTATAAAATTGTCACGTTTAAGGTCTAATTTCTTCACAAATCAGCGATCTTCACTGCCTGATATAAAGTGGGTCTCACACCGGACAAGAAGCACTGCATTAATTTACATTATGCCCTGCCATATCTTTAAAATATGACAGGTTTTTTATTCCAGTATTTTCAATTTCCAATGGACGTTCTGCGGCTTCCCGCTAATCCTGAAGGTGCTAGCAGTTACATAGTCTTTCATCTCGTTTTACGCTTGAATAACTAAATGAATGCTCAAGTCTATTTAATTGAATGAAATTACGTTACAACATTGATGCTGTAAAAGAAACCTTATGAAATTGAAAATAGTCATTAACCTTTTACCGGAAGTTTATCATTGGCTGAAAAACACTAGCTGAGCATATTATGCCCCATTGTCAAGTTGGTTTTGTGATTGCTGATCTGAATGAAGACTTAAACTTAATTTTTTAAATATATTAAATGCTTTTACCAGACAAATTTAGTTAGGTCTTATCTAGGGTTGCCATGTGTTTCTTAATGTGCTGGCATTCACCATTCCAAAATTACAGCTAGAATACTTAATAGTTGCTGAAAACTTTTTTTGTGTGTGTTTGTATGTGTGTGTGTTTTGGTTTATATACAGTATGTGTGTGTAATGTGAATGTGCTATTTAATGCCAGAGCTGTAAACTGAAAACTTGAAATTCTTTGTGTCTTTGTGGGAATGAACAATATATATAAGACTGCGAGAGACTTTAACAAATTGCATGAGATTAACAAATGTGCTTTTTAAAATTGAGAACATCAAATGAGAGATGAAAGACAGAAACAGAGGACAAAATGAAAGGAACAAACCTCTGTTTACACTTTCCCTGTAAATATTCTCATTTTGTTTGCTAGTTTCTGTGTATTTGCGCCTTCCGTTGCTTTACATTTGAGCAGACGCTGTTTATACACTTGTCCTCACATCTCACTTTGTTGTGAATAAAAACCATGTTGTTATGTCTAAAGCCTTTGCTTGCACTGAAAGGCGGTGGTCTGTACGCACTCTTGTTGGTTGTTGCCGCAGTGCATCATTGCTCATTTGCATAAAGTTGAGCTCTGCTGTATCTGTCAATCATCAAATGTTAGTCAGGCCTTAAAGATATAGTTCATAAAAAATTAACACTTTATTTCATCAATTATATCATTTACTCATATGCAAGTTCAATCTTTGATTTCCAAAAATATGGGAAAGCTAACCATTGTGCTTCTCATTTACTTCAATTACTGTACATGGATAAAAAAAAATTCAATAGAAGTCAATGGAATCAAACGTGATTTGATTACCAACATTTGTCAAATTTCTTTGATGTTCCATTGAAGAAATAACGTCATACAGGGTGAAAAAATAATGACTTTTTTGTTATTGTTATTTTTTTGTAGGGGAAACTGGACTGTCCCTAAAACAACAGATACTATTCAGACAGATCTGAGGTCTCTGCTGTTATTCTGAGATGTCGACCCTAATTTAGTCTTGTGCGTCATCGTTTTATGAGGCTTCCCAGCTGTGATTCTCAGCAACCGCATCCCTGTTTTTTTTCATCCTAATAGATGTATAAAAGACGGATTAGATTTCATATCCGTTTCCTTTCCTCACAGCTGTCTGCTGTGTTTTGTCTGTAAATTAGCGAGATGTTCAGGACTCTCATGCAGACATAGCTTATCATTTTTGATTCCCATAATTTCTTTACAGAGTTATTTAATGAAATTTGGCTGTCTAATTTTGTACACTCTTCCAAAAACTAGAAAGCTGACCTAGTTATAATTTCAAGGGACAATTTAAATTTGGCCAGATTCTGCATCAACAATGGATACTTTGCATACAACAGTGTTACTTTAGTTGGTAACACTTTATTTTGATGGTCCATTTGAGTATTAGTAGACTGTCTGCTTAATTTGTGTTGATAGAGACATTCAACAGACATTTAACTGACAATAAAAAACTTTGCAAGTACATGTCAACTTACACTAACCCTATTAGAATTAGTTGGCGTGTAGATGCAATGTAACTTAAATCCAACAAACGGACCCTCAAAATAAAGTGTGACTCTTTAGAAATATTTATGCATTATCATTATGACCGCCATGTTTCTTAAACTGGAAAACCCAATGGACAGGCACCTTTATTCGACAGATATAATACTGTATATGCAGAAGTATGTGCAACGACTTTTAAATTTTCTTATGAACTATATGCTCTTACAAAATCAGTGTTTTTAAGGTCTGTTTTTTAAACTAATTTTTCCACGCCATGTCTTCAAAATATTAAAAAAAATTTTACTCCAGTGTTTTCAATGAAGTTTCTGCACTAGCCTGCTAATCCTGATGGGAGTGTGTATGTAAACAACTTTTCACCTCAATTTTTGTTTCTTTGCTTGAACAACTAAATGAATGCTGAAGTCTTTAACTGATTATATTTTAATTACATTACAACATTGATGCTGTAAAGGGAATTGTATAAAATTAAACCAGACGTTTATCGTTTTGGGAAGAAACACTAGATGTACACATACCCTATAAGTATCTGCACAAACTATTGATAATAATATTAGCTATACAAGAAATTGACTTTTGGGAAAAAAGATTCTTATTAGTATTCATAAAATAACCTTTATGTTTTATATTTCCAGTTTGAGTGATTTCGTTGGGCTTTCTAAATAGAATTTCTAAATAGACTATTTCAAATGAGTGTGTGAATGTTTCCCAGGGATGGGTTGCAGCTGGAAGGGCATCCGCTGTGTAAAAACGAGCTGGATAAGTTGGCGGTTCATTCCGCTATGGTGACCCTGGATTAATAAAGGGATTAAGCCAACAAGAAAATGAATGAATTCATAGAATTTTGCCATTTCAGCATTTCACTGTAAACATAATTATTTGCCAAAATGTCTATGTATGTTTTCATGTAATATCTGTATCTTGACATTTTTATTTTTCAACATTAATTTTTAGTTACCAAATATTTCAATAGTTTAGGCAAAAACGACAGAGAAGGCATTTATCAAATGCATGGGAAGAAACTGTATTAAACTAATTCTACATATATACTTTTATTTTTGTGTAAATCTACTACTATGGAAATTGTAATTAAATTTTAGTATTTTAGTCCTATACATTTTTGCACTATTTTCATGCTTCGAGTCTAATGTCGCATAGCAGTCATCATTGTGCGCTTTATGTGAGCAGGATTATTCTTCCTAAATGAAGTCATTTGGCCATTAAAGCTCTCTTCTGATTTTAGGATAACCTACTAGTTAAATAAAGCCTAATCCGTTTGCCTCAAACAGAAATAAAAGAGCATGTTATGTGGTCTGTTGAGTTATGATTGATTTTTGCCCATGTGCTTGCAGTGTGTGTTTATAGAAAATGGAATTTTACTGCACGTCTGTGATAAACATAATGAAAAATCACTCTGTCTGATTCATGGGACTGCTGATGTGTTTTGTATGTTACAAATGATTGGTTTCATTTACATGTAACCAGCAGCACATCTGTGTGCTCAAAGTACTGTTGTTTTCTGGATGCCCTTAAGCGGGTAATTAATCAAAGTGAAAAGTGCATAAATGAGAATATGAACACATGAATAAAATATAACATTATTTCAATATGTAATATCAACGTTGAGTGATGGACATTGAAACAAAGAGGCAAAAAAAGAGTCGGTAAAGCATTATATTGATATTTTGGTCTTTAATGTTTGTATCTTGCAGAATACAAAACCCAGTTTCGATGACGATGCACCAGAGTAAGTCCCAAAAGTTTTTGGTCCAGCAGAAAAACTACCACACACACACGCAGATGCAAGGAGTGGGACCCACCTTGAACCGTGCCATCCCGCTGTCAGTGGGCCACAACCCAATTCATGGTAAGCACAATAGAACGAGAACTTTTAGTTGATAATTGGGTATTTGAAGTGTCTTAGATGAAAAACAATGGCCTCTAGATTACACTTATTTTACAAAAATAAAATATGATCATGGCTTGATTTTTTTAATGATTTAATTAGGACAGTAAGGTCTGACTTTGCTTAGACAAAGGTCTTGTCACTTAACAGAAGTAATGTACAGCATAGAATATAAAATCATTGTGCAGTGGAAAAAGAATATTATTGTGTAAGACTCCCATGAGCTTAGAGGACTGCATCCACACATCTCTGCTATGACTCAAATAACTTTTTAATAAACCACCTGAATTTTCAAAGAAAGCGTTCTTGCAGGACTCCCAGAGTTCATCAAGATTCTTTGGATTCATTTTTAATGCCTCCTTCTTCATCTTACTCCAGACCCTTACCCTTACCAGACCCTCCTTCATTTTACCCCAGGGTTGGGGGTAGGCTTTAAAAATACAATTTATTGGGTAATCTAATAGATAACATAAATAATACTTAGTACAACTACTGTTTTTACATTAGTGTGATGGTTGGGCTTAGGGTTGAGAAGGGGTTAGATGTTAATAAAATACGATTAATGGGAAATTTAATAAATAATATTAACAATTTTTGTTAACTTCCAGCCGCAACCATATCCGATCTAGCAACAACCCTGTTGATGTTGCCATCCACTCTGCAGATCTCTCTCATGCCCCAAATAGTAATAGTAATAATAGTATGTTTTGAGAGTATCAAATCACCATATTTTAGTATATTTAAACAGTTACGTGAGATTAAAGATTTTACAAAAAAATGTAACTATTTTCTAAAATGTCACAATCCACAAAATATTGCATTTTTTTTTTACTTTAATTTTGAATGAATAAATCCAGCCTTGGAGCATTACAGACTTCTTTCAAAAACATTAAAAAGTCTTACAAACCCCAAATGTTAGTGTATTTCTTGGCTTCCTCTGTCTATAATTTTGACATTTGAATGCAGTCCCAGAGCATGTCTTCCAATTGGAGAAATTGGAGGATGAGTGACATCAGCATCTATTAATGTTATTTCGTGTATCAGTTTTTATTTTTCAGCAAATTTCGCTGACTCTACTTAAAGACTCTACTTGTGTTTTTGACGGGATGACGGATCACACACAGGAACACACACTGTGGAACTTTCTGTGAGGAGACTGACAGCATGTCTGACTCTCTTACAAACGTTTACCTCTGTGTCTGCTACGCTGTGAGATGACAGTACGATGATTTTTTTATACAGCTAAATCAGAGATGATGTTAGAACAGAGCTCCCACAGTCATCAATATTAAAGATGAATATTAAAATTTACGAGATTTACAGACCTGGGTGAGTAATGGAAATATATGAACTATTGAAAAGAAAGCAGGGCTGCGCGGTGGCGCAGTGGTAGCATGTTCGCCCCACAGCAAGAAGGTCGCTGGTTCAGTTGGCATTTTTGTGTGGAGTTTGCATGTTCTCCTTGTGTTTGCGTGGGTTTCCCCCACAGTCCAAAGACATGTGGTATAGGTGAATTGGCGGTTTATTCTGGTGTGACGACCCCAGATTAATAAAGGGACTTAGTCGAAAAGAAAATGAATGAATGAATAAATGAAAAAAAAGCATAGACATTTCTGAAGTAAGTAGGTTTATGTATGTATTTCTTTAAGATAACTCTGAAAACTGACTGCTCTAGGCAAGTGTAGTGTAGCTATAATTTTGTTGTACCACAGGTAATTTCTGACCACAGTTTAGAAAATGTATGGCTGTTGTGTTTAAAATCCATTTGTCTCAAATATCTTAGGATGAATGGGTATGATTTGCTGAGGAAAATTATTTTGCAATTTAAATTTCTAACTTTTTTTTTTTTCATATTTTGGCCTTATTGTAACGTGTATTGCTTTGTTCATTTTTACCTGTGTTTTGGTGTTCTCCACTGACACTATGGAAATAAACAAACAAATATTCATCTGTTTCATGCCTTGTTACAAAACTATAACGCTCATTCACATTTGTTTCTATTTGTGAAATACTCTAAATAAATAAATAAATAAATGCATATACACTGAAAAAAGGGGTTTTGCTAAATTTTTGCAAACAATTTGTATGGGTTAAATTTCATTCATTCATTTATTTATTCATTTTCTTTTTAGCTTAGTCCCTTTAATTAATCAGAGGTCACCACAGCGAAATGAACCACCAACTTATCTAGAGTGTTTTAAGCAACGGATGCCCTTCCAGCCACAACGCAACACTGGAAAATACCCATGCACACTCATTCACACACATACACTACGGCCAATTTAGTTTATTCAATTCACCTATAGAAGTGCCAACTGACCCAGCCGGGGCTTAAACCAGCAACCTTCTTGCTGTGAGGCGATCATGCTACCCTTTGAGCCACCATGATGCCCGTGGGTTGAATTTAAACAAATTTAATCTAGTTATGTCCAAATCAATTTGTTTGTTTAGTCTAAATTCTGCCCGAATAAATAGTTTACAACCACTTACTTAAAAAAAAAGACAACTAGTAAATCCAAGGAATCATCTTTGGGACACTTTTTTTCAGTGTAGTCTCTACGCTTTCCTGTACATTTAGAATAAAAATAGAAGTAACATACTTTTAAACATCAATTCTACTATACCAATCCTTCAGCTTAGTACCTTAACTTATCAGGGGTTGCCACAGGGGAATGAACCGCCAACTTATCCTTCATATGTTTTACACGGCGGATGCCCTTCCAGCTGCAACCCAGTACTGCAAAACATCCACACAATCAGACACTGCGGCCAGTTTACTTTATTCAGTTCACTTATAGTGCATGTCTTTGGACTGTGGGGGAAACCGAAGCACCCGGAGGAAACCCACACAAATACAGGGAGAACATGCAAACTCAGAAATGCCAACTGGCTCATCCTGGGTTCGAACCAGCAACCTTCTTGCTGTGAGCTGATAGGGGCAACAACTGAGCCACCATGCCAGCCTAAGCATCAAGTAATGTAATTGAAATATATATATATGTATATATATGTATATATGTATATATATATATGTGTGTATAATCTCTGTCATAATCATAATCTCTGTTGTTGGCAATATACTGTAACACTGATAAACTACCTTGAAAAATGAAAATAATTTTGCCATGAATATATCAGCACTTAAACATAGTCTTTTTTTAATGTACAACACAAATACTGCTTTGCAAAATCTCAAAAATTTGCTACAATTAAAAATCTTTATCCATCAAAAAGTCATGGAGACAAGGTGTGTGGCTCAAACTTTACAATAAGATTTCATTAGTTATTCATTCATTCATTCATTCATTCATTCATTCATTCATTCATTCATTCATTCATTCATTCATTCATTCATTCATATATTCATTAATTAATTAATTAATTAATTCATTCATTCATTCATTCAATCATTCATTCAATCATTCATTTTCTTTCAGCTTAATCTCTGTTTAAGATGTCACCACAGCATAATGAACCGCCAACTATTCCAACAAAATTTTTACGCAATAGATGCCCCTTCTAGCCACAACCTCGTATTGGGAAACACACACACACACACACACACACACACACACACACCAACCACACACACACCACACACACACACACACACACACTATGAACAATTAATTTATTCAATTCACCTATAGCCCATGTCTTTTAACTCTGAGGGAAACATAAGCACAGAGGAAACCCATGTGAACATGGGGAGAATGTGCAATCTCCTTACAGAAATGCCAATTGACCCAGCTGGGAAACAAACCAGCGACCTTTTTGCTGTGAGGCGTTAGTGCTAACCACTGAGTCACTGTGCTGCCGATTTCATTAGTTTATGTTAGTTAATGTGGTTAAGCTAAGAATAAACAAAACTAGTACAACATTTATTACTCATTCAACACTTACTAATGCATTATCAAAATCCCAAATTGTGCTTGTTAACAGTAGAAATAACAATGAACAACTTTCATGACCTAACCTTAACAAAGATGAATGAAGACTGTAATAAATATGTTGGTCATTCTTCATTCATGTTATTAAATACATTAACTAATGCAACCTTATTGCATTACCGGCGTGGGAATCCCAGTACAAATTAGCAGTGAGATTCACAACCACAAGCATATGTGCATTTTAAACCTCACTTCCTTTCTGTCTCTTACACTTGTTATAGATTCGTTTATTATAATTTTGCATTGCTACAGGTCAACCCTTTAGCTATGTTTTTTTCCAAGCGGATCCTCCGGTTGAAATCATATAAAGACTTAAGTGTTGCCTTGTGCGCCTCACTGTCTAAAGTGAGTTATTAGCCTCATTTTCTCCGGGTAATTGTAGATAAAAGCTGGCTGTGAGGGAAGGCAAGAACCAGAGAAAAGAGACAGAGTAAGAGAGGAGGGGGGATTGAATGACAGGGCGTTACGATAAACAGTCATTGAGGGAAGTGCTCTTCGCAGGCAGGTGAGAGGATTAGATACAGTAGTCCTGCATGTGAATGAGGGGGCCGGTGGGCCGGCAGAACTAATGTGTAGCATGACATCTATTATCCCTCTTCCTGCCCTGCAGACGAGCAGTGTTACACAACTAATACAGCCAGAGCTCTTGCTGTAATACTAATGCTAGGAGGAGGCCGTGGGGTATTGGGTAACTGTTTTTGCACGGTGTCGTGGTCTGACATGCCGTTTCTTGCTGCTTTGAAATTCAGCCAAACCGCACTCTGACTGGGTGTCTGATGGTACAGAAGTGACCGGGTTCACTCACAGCGAGACAGACCTTTACATATTGCATTACATTAGTTGTAGGTCACCAGAGACAGGCATCTGACTGACTCGCTGTTGACCTCATGTTGCGTTTGTTGTTGATTGGATGTGTCTGCATGATGGACAGAAGGAGAGGGAGGAGTGGATTATATCTGCAAATGGAAATCTTGATATTTTGGTTGCTGTTACAAAGCACTTAGATTAAGA